GCAATAACAATAGTGAAACAACTAAGTCCTAAACTAAATCCTATTCTGCAGGTCACTTCCATGTGTCTGGGTCTTGTGCTGCCGGTATCAACCACGCCAACAACTTGCTTCTATCATGCATAAACCCCAAATAGGCTCGCCTAGCCCACCTCAACCGCGTAAGCATCTTGGCACATGCATAATATAGTTGATTGTCATCATTAAGCTCCTCAACGGTAGTCAGGTGTGCCAAAACCTTATCAACTACTTGGGGATCTTCAACCAATGCTGCTGCTCGCTTGTCAGAAGCAGCTGCTATGACACTCAGGCTATCAGAAATTAATGTAGATGCAGCAACTTTCTTCTTCTTCTTTGCATCTGATGTCTCACCCCTCTTTCTCTTTCCATAGCTTCCTGAGCCACTTGGTCCAGTACTTGCGGGGTTGTTTATGTTGCAAGCAGCGAAGTCATCTGTGAACCCTGCACTGGCTGTTGGGTCCACACCAAAGTTTTCATCCTCACTATCCCCTGACCCTTCTTGTTGGTCTAGCCCGACTCTATAAACATCCTCCTCCTCTTCTGTGTCAGGCTGTGGAGCAAACGCTGGCTGAGGCTGTGAGGCTGATGGTGCGTACGCATACTCTCCCGAAGCCACAACATCTCTGAATATTTTCATCAGATCTGATGCAAACATCAGCCCCTGATGTCTAAATTTCTTGAAATTAGGGTCCACCTACATGAACATAATTAGGCATAATTAAGCGCTGTTCCTTCTGATATTCAAAATTAAAACTCAACTAACACAAATAATTACCAGTATTTTTCGTTGCCACCACTCATCAGAGGCCAATACCCTATTTGTGGCTGCATCATAACCAATGCCAGTCTCCCCAGACATCAGTTTTTCCCACAACTTCCAATCTTTTCTCAATACATCAAATCTGTTCTTCAGTTGCCTCTTGTCATACATTTTCCCGCTCCTTTCCCGAAAATTCTTTTCAATTTTCAACCAACCAGGTCTTGTAAACGATGTTCCTTGTCTTTCTTTGTGCACTATTTGCTCGGCACAAACATCGATTAGAATTTTTGTCGTATAATGATCCCATGTCGCTTTTCCCCTGTCATTATCCATTTCTCTACGTCCTTTGATCGAGATAAGAGTAACTGAATCAACCAAAGTCCTAAATATGTAATAATAAAAACTGTATTATATAACACATATGTTGTAACCAAACAAACATATATCACCAAGTAACACATTTTAATTGCATAACCTGTTTAGTTTTCTTATTCGATATTTTTTAACATTATAAATATATAATCATAATGTCAATGTCCACTATTTTCCAGTGGTAATTGATTGTGAACATTTTAAAATTAAAATTTCAATATATCATATAAATTGAACCTAAACTACATTACATTGATTAATTTTTATCCTAATTTAACTGTGTAGGAGTAAAATAAAAACCAAATTAAGAATGATGAACAAGATTATTTACAAAAATATGTTATATTTATCATAATTAACTAATTTACCTAACTTTTTTAATATAATTAAATTAGTTAAATAAATATCATATTAGAGAGAAGTAAGAGAATATAACAGGAGAAAGAACAACATTAAATTTATTTTGATTGAGACTTCCCCAAATTAATTCCAAATGATTTTTAAGTAATTATCCACATAGTCCTTAATTTCTTTGTATAGTACAAATTAATGTCTTATTACTTTGCTCTATCAACGCCGTTAATTAGCTTTATCAAATGAACCATTCGGACACACATATATACACCATGTTACCACCTCATTCTCTTCTACCCTACCCTCATAGAGATCAAATTCTATAACCATAAAAATCAAGAGAATCAAGAGACCGAAGCTAATGACATGCAAAACAACAACCATTGTAATTCTGAAAATTACAATTCCAGAGTTACATATCTCGCCATTAACAACGTATATACGCAACAATTTCTTGAATCCTATAACCATAAAAATCAAGAGAATCCTATACGTCGTTTGCTTGAACCATTAATCGTTGTTTCAGCCTTGGAAAACAGAGGAAGAAAATCGATATGCAACTAGAAATTTTATGCTACATTCGGTCCCTGTTTCGGTGTCACAACCAGTCGGTCCTCAACATGCAGCAATCATTAACAAATCCGAATTCAAGCACGATAGGAAATTCAAGGACGACAGGAAATTCAGGGAGGACAACAAATTCAAGGACGACCGGGGATCAAACCGGAAAAGCGACATATAACCGGCCAACCTGCAGTAGATCCAACCAAACAAAGGCTGCTAGAGGTAGATCCAACGGTATATTGCACTGGGAAGCCAAGATCTCCACGCACGGCTCAAACGCAGAGGCAGACGCCGGCGACGTCGGTTGCAGACGGTGAGAGCAGCTCTGACTTGTGATGAACGAACGGCATCCACCAAGCCACGGACACCTCACCCCAACAGCTGACCTCGCGATGATGACCGGACGAGCTCACGGTCACCAGCGACGAGCTTCTCAGACGCGACCACCGACGGACATTCTCGAGCCGAGCAGAGACGGAGCAAGCTGGGAGCTCGGGTTAAGAAAAGGAAAAGAGAGTCACGAGGGTTTAGGGAATAAAAGAAGGCAGATGTGAAGAGAAAAAAAAAAGTAGTGGTGTCAGAACAGTCATAAGCTGAATTCCTAGGGGCCAGAAGCTGCTAGGCACGAGCTTATGCCAATCGTGCGTTCAGTGGGTTTATAAAATGATAAGCCCAATTGTCATATTGCTCTGCCAAACGGACCAATTTTTCCACTGAGCTTATAAGTGATTATAAGCCACGTTTGGGCCAGCAAACGCTGACCCAAACAGGCACTAAATAAGAATAAAATTGAAAAATTGTTGAAATTTAGATGAAAGTTGATAAAATTTAAGGTTTTTCTTGCTCTGTGTAAAACAGGTTAAAAGTGATTTGTAAATTAGACGAGAAGAGTATGCTGTCAGAGGTTTGAGATTGGGTTGTATGCAAAGCCATCCCATGTGCCATTGGTAATAACTAGTAAACAAGAACAAAAATGCAACTTCGATATATTTTCATATTGCCTATGGTCTTAAATGTAATATCCACTATGTAATTACATTACAAAATAAGTTTTATATTTAAAGGTGGAGGAGTATTATTTTAGTTAAGTGACACGTTTTTGCTAAAATGCGTAAAACAACTAAAAACAACTTAACTAGGGAGGGAGAGAGTGGTTGTTGACGAAGTCCCCCGCGGTTGGCTGGCTGCTTCCGTCGGGTAGAGGATGTTTGGCAGGGGGTGAGGAGGATGATCTTAGTTTACTCGAAGACGAATATGCCTTTGATGATTCACTATTCATTCAAGAGGCGGGGGAACAAAAGAAGGAATATTACCCAAATAAATCTTGGATGCCAATCATTATTATATATATATATATATATATATATATATATATATATGAGGATCAAAATTGTACTGTTGACGACTTCTTGGTGACTTTGTAGTGTGTGGACACATATGGTTTGACTGGTGATTGTGGGTAATCATTATCAAACAAGGTGGAGACGTGTGAGTTCAAACATGTGATGTTATACACATTTTGGGATGATCCATCACACAGATGCGGACAAGGACATCATCACCCACTTGTTCGTTGCAGCTGGGACGTGAGATCCAAGCTGCAACCGCCCTCAGTAGGTAAAAAGTTTGTTCTTCTTTTTAGCAAATCTGAATTTAAACCAACTCATTCATAAGCATTGTCATGTTCCTAAACCTGCCAATTCTCGGCCTAAAACGACAGATAGAACGTTACTCAAACTCAACGCCGACGGGAAAAAACTGATATTACCATACCAATCACGTTAACTTTAAGAGTCCGAATGCTCCCAATCAAAGCCCAAAACAACGTGCCGTCTACGGTTCTGTTTCCGAGCAAATGCACAAAAAGTAAAAACCAGAGAAACACAATTTATGTATATTGATCGAATGGTTTACATTTTGTTTTACTTTTAAATATTCACTTTTCAAAACATAAAATAAAATAATTTTGTTACTATTAAATAAAAGAAAATGAGACTCAGCTCAAATTGAAAGCGACGTCAGAATAATAACATTATCCCGCTCACCAAATTGCTTAGTTGTGTCTTCATACAGACATTAACAAGTTATGGATCATGATTCGCCAGTGACTTGGAGGGTGTTTGGGTAACCCCAGAATTACTTTTTAGAAGCACTTTTTCAAAAGTCGAAACAAACTCTTCCACATATTTATTTTGTATACTATAAAAATACTTTTAAAATTATAGTTTTGTTCTTACTCAAACACTCCCTTGGTTGCCTCTTCCTAATTAAGCAACGGCTGATTAGGCTTCGGTGCTCCTACCAGCAAGGCGCGTTCATAATGATGACGAACCTAAATTATGGATCAAACATTATTTTGTTCCTTTTTTCCCCTTCAATTTTCACAGATGTAAAATTTAATATAAAAATACTTTTGTTGCCATACTTAGAATAGTAAAATTATTACTTAAAAATTAGCAAGCAAAGAATTTAAATTTTGATCCTTTGAATTATTTGAACCGTTGAAAATTCATCACAATAATGACGATCCTGATAGCCTGATGAGAAGTTGTTCCAACTTCCTAACTTCGGAAGGAACCTTCCTCCCGCTTATCTTTCCCCTTTATTTTGATCACCAGCATTAACAGGTTAGTTTGCCCAGTCAGTCCCGTTTTCCTTTTGGGGCAGACTAATTAGAAAGGGGCCCCCATCACCAGAAATAGAATCACGGTAGCGGCTGATGTTTTACAACGGGAATCTCGTCCTCAGGTTGGGCATGGGGAGCGGTTGTGAAGTTAACATATCACCGGGCCCTAATTTCATTTTTGGCATAATTCATTATTATCCTCACTCCATTATTATTATTATTATTATTATTATTATTATTATTATTATTATTATTATTATTTTTGTTGGACCAGCACTCATTATTTTACATCATCAATAAACAATGTATTTTCAATTCTCTATACTGCGTATTTTTTATTTCAAATATTACGTACATTATTTATGTGTGAAAAAATTTGTATGAACTCCACGTATCGTAGGAAATCTATAATATAAGCACTATTTACCACAAGTGTAGCAAGTTTTTATCATGTGATACTTTTTGAAAGCCTTAACGGGACACTCTGCATCTGTTGTACAAAAAGCCGCACCTAGGCCTAAAATCACCCCCAGCATTGCTTCATCGGTGAGATATCGGAAAATGGGGTGGATACTGTTTTCAATGAGTTTTTTTCCTTCTTTTCATTTTTGGGGAGGGGGTGCCTCTTGTTATAATTTGAGTCAGCAAAATTAAATATGAGGTGGCATCCAGATCAATGAGAACAAGACTTGCTGGAAAAGAGGGGAGGGTGAGATAGTGAGTGAGGAAAACAAGCAGCCCTGAGCTCATTATACCTTGCCATGTCGAAATTGCGAAGCTTCATGAGGCGCTTCTGCTTGGCGATGAATCGGCCTTTGTAGTAACCTTCAAAAGAAGGTTCCCTGGAGGTGCGAAGGAAGAAGGCGTAACCACCCATGAAGTAGATGGAGGTCACAAAAAAGCAGATTGGTTCCATCACATCCCAAGAAAGCTCCCAAAATGTGAGCCTCATGAATGCCGCTGTTTGCAGCACCAGGAAGCTCAGCCCGCTCCATAGCTCTCTCCGAACCAACCCGTCTGCTTTCCCATCGATTACTGCCTTCTCCTTCTCCATTTCTTCGAGTTCTTTCATTGCTTGTTCCTGTGCCGCATTGGCTCCAGGAATAGGAAACAGATTTAGAACCGCTTTTGCTACCTGTACCACAAAATTTTACACAGTTTGGGTGAACTGAAACAATTCTACTTCCATATCTGCTTTCTTTCCAGCTGGAAATACATATGAATCCACAGACTTCGCTTAAAAAGTAAGCTTTTGTAATGCTAATCAGTACCCAAAATGAAGATGAGAGAATATAAATACATTCGTGTCTGTGCAACCATTAAACAACTTGGCTCGGAACAGAGAGAACACGCGCTAGAATGAAATCACATGGAAACTTCAATAGGATAAGAACAAGGGAAAAGACACCGTCCTTCTTTAAGCAGCATACTGAACCATCTCCTTGTGAAGGATTTGGATCACCTAAAATTTTCATTTCCGAAGTTTTCTGATGTTCTTTGGTTTTGTAAACACCCCCCCCCCTCTCTTTCTCTCAATTCACCTCACCTTCTATTACTAAACCTCTATCCCATTAATTTTCAGCTACTTCATCAAGAACCAGATCGAGAGGATCCCAACTCCCTGGAGAAAGCCCGAAATTTCCCACCAACTCCCTATGAGCTATCATGAATTAGTATTATGGTAAGTAAGAGTAATGCCCTGACCAATGTCAGCTCATGCTCAATTCCTGTATCGCTAGAAATCGGTTATCTCTAAAGATTTTATTAATCTAATCTGTCAATTGCTTTTGTGTCGAATAAAACCAAAAGTTAACAATTAAGTTTCTGTCAGTTAATGTCATTTATGTTCTCTCTCTCAAATAAAGCCAAAAGTTATCAGAGTTAATCCCAAAAAAAGAGATCATTGGTAAAGTGAATGAATCAGTCTGAACGAAGAAAGCCCAAGGGCTTTTGCGGTCCTTCAAATGTCCTAATTTACCATCTCAAACGTGGAATCCTTTACACGTTTTAGATCTGGCGAAACAACAAAGTTTCAACTTCCTGTGGAAAAAAAAGAAATCATCATAAAAGATTATCAGTTTTCGGTAGTCTCCAGATAAATGGGAGAAAAAATGTGTAGTGAAATGTCCTAATGTGAGGAAAAGCGAAACCTATCTCTGATGTTCACCATGACCCTCTGTAGAAACCCCAAAAAACAAAGAAAATAGATAAAACAAAACGAAGCAAAGTTAACCATAAGAGAGGAGAGGAAAACAGAACAGGGATATAGGTATTAACCTGTTCAGGCCTGAGAAAAACGATATCTCCCAATATAACCACAGTAGCAGAATCATCAAGCATCTTGGCAACCCGCACCGCTTGATCCCGGTCCGAACAGCAATCTTCGCAGATCCGAAGAAACTCTGGATAGGGAATGCAGCTATTTTGGATGCTCCTTAGCCTCGACCTAACCAATTCCAACCGCGCCGCTCTGAACAATTTTCTCGCATTCTCAGCGGTCACATGTTGCGTCGAATCCGAAGTCTCCGCTGGCGGCAACAATCCGTCTAATCGAAGTCGATTTCTGGCAATGTCTATCTCCTTCAGCTTGTGAACAAGATTTTGGCCGAGCACGGGGGAACAGGCCGTGGCCGTTTGCGAATCAGCTCGGTTGTGCAGGAGACGGCGGAAGACGGCATTGTCTCCCGGATCCGGAGCAAGATGAGGAGTGCCAGCGGTGGGAGGAATGGGAGCCAGGGCAGAGGAAGAGGATATGCGACAATTGGTGAGTGTTTGGGAGGACATTTTGGTGACATTGAGAAGGCGCTGAGCAAAGGCTCTTTTGAACGCCATGGATGCACAATTCGGAAGAGAGAGAGATGAAAAGTAAATGGAAGGACTAGGTCACAGGGAGGGCTTGGAGGAAGGAAGGAACGTCCGATGGCTCCTCAATATATAGGTGAGCTGGCATCCCACGATAACGGGGGACATTGTTTCCCGATTTTGTTTGTTATAACACATTATACAAATAGCATATTGATAAAAGAGATAAGATTGCTGATGTGGACCACACGCATTCATGTGTCCGAAAAACGACAGGGGAGATTCCCCCAAAAGAAACGACGGAGCGTAGAAGCCGTACACGTGGATGAATGAGATTAAAAGAGCAGATGCATGGGAGCCGTTGAAGGGGACGGCGTCACTTAAATAGTCTCGGTTGCACCGGAAGCCGAATGGGGTTAACAAAGTGCAAGAAAATACTCACAAGTCGCAACCTCAGCAAGCAGGTTCGACTGTCAGGATGGATGGTCAGATCGGATTTTTTTTTTTTTTTTTTGGGTGAAAAAAGGGGCGAAGCCCAAAGACTAAAATAAAGGGATAAGAACAAGGGAACACAAAAGATAACTAACAGAGCGCGTCAGCGTCCGGAAGCCATATCTACATAAGCTTCCTCTCTTAGAATATTCTCCACAATACTGGGTGGGGAAGTCCAGCTCTTCCACCATTCAGGCAGATCCAGGCTCAGTGAAGCCAAGCGATCTGCACACCGGTTCCCTTCTCGATAGATATGTGTTATCTTCACTTGCCACTCCTTTAGCATCATGCTGCGAATCTGAGCAAATAACAAGAAGTCCCCATTGACCGTCTTCATGTCGTTTATTGCTTCCACAACTTGCCGAGCGTCGCACTCCACAACGACCTTCCTAAAACCCAGCCTCCAACATTCCTCTAGGCCTACTAAGACACTCTTAGCTTCAGCATTGGTCACACTGCAGTGATTAATTTTCATAGTAAATCCCCCCAGCCATTCCCCACCGTCACCCCTTATTACTCCACCGCATCCATTCAAGCCCTGGCAAGGCCCGGTTGCGTCCGTATTCAGCTTGCACCACCCTTTGTCTGGTACTATCCATTTGGTACTATTAGTTCTGTTACTCTGTTCTTCCAATAGTTCCTCTCCCCATTTATGTTGATAGCTCTCCAGTAAACTATATATGGTTCTCTCTGGTTTGAGAGGTAACTCAAAGTTGCTGTCATGTATGAGGAGGTTTCTCCATTTCCAGATCTGCCATAGTCCTACCGCAAATAATTGATCCCAGTTGAAGCCTTCTGAGTGCTTAACTTTTTGCAGAAGGTTTCCTGTCAGCCATTCTTCCCACTGTTGGCCAAAAAACTTGACTCTTTCCTGCCATGGTATAATTTTTCTCCATATGTGGGTTACATAAGGGCAGTCCCTTAATGCATGGAGAAGGTCCTCCTTCTTCTGGTTGCAAATCCCACACCATCCTTGACTCCCATCCCATTTACTTGTGATCTCCTTTGTAGGGAGTTTTTTATGGCATACTCTCCAGATGAATACCCGTATCCTTTGAGGTACCTTTAATTTCCAAACCTTCTTCCAGTTTCTTCCTTGTGGGAGTTGTTGTAGGCCCTTTAAGTTTTGATACATACTTGCGATTGAAAAGGCACCATTGCTCGTTAGCTTCCATGTTAGCTGCTTTATGTTTTGGTGGGTTGAGACATTAGTTTCAGAGATATTACTCTCAAACCTTTCCCATAGTTTTGTCATTTCTTTCCAGAGCCTTGAATCAGTATTCTTCGTGACAGGTCTTTCTCTGTTATTTGCCCCTCTTCCATACTTGCCTTGTAACACCTTAACCCATAGGGCGTTTGGTTCTTTATTCAATCTCCACAGTAGCTTGCATATGAATGCTTCATTCATTTCGTGCAGAGATCTTATACCCATCCCTCCATACTCTTTCTCTTTACACATCATTTCCCACCCTATAGCATGCCAGGTGTGCTTATCTCCTTCCTCTCCCCAAACAAATCGTCGCTGAGCTCTTTCCATATCCTCTAAGATGCATTTCGGCACTTTGTCATGTTGCATTGTATAAAGTGCCATAGAGCTCGTGACCGCTTTGACCAAGGTAATTCTTCCCGCCATAGAAAGACTTGATGCCTTCCAACCACCCAGCTTCTGCTTTAGTTTATCTACAATACTTGTGTATCGAGCTTTTCTTCTCCTTGGATAGGTGATATTTGCGCCAAGATATCTTCCAATCTCTTCCACCTCTTTGAACTGACTTCTGTGGCGTATGGCTCTCCTAGTGTGCACCGGGACATTTGGGGAGAAATAGATAACCGTTTTCTCCTGACTGACTTTGTGTCCCGAGACCTCTCCAAACTCCTGTAAACAATTCGAGATAACATCAATCTGCTTAACAGTGGCCTCTGCAAAAAGAACAAGATCGTCAGCAAACATCATATGTGTAATACTAGGCCCTGATCGGCCAGCTCTCAAACCTCTCCACTGTTTCTCTCTCTCCCTATCTAGGATCATATGAGTGAGTTTCTCCATTCCGAGTACAAATAGATAGGGGGAAATGGGGTCACCCTGTCTAATACCCCGAGTTGTTTGAAATTCTTCTGTTTTCTCGCCATGCCAAAGAATACTAGTTTTTTCCGTGTGGATGCAACTCATAATTCTTTCCTTCGTTTCAGCTGGGCAGTTGAGCTCCTCAAGGATTTTTACGATGAACTTCCAGTTTATTCTGTCATAGGCCTTTTCAAGATCAACTTTAATTGCCATATAACCTTTCTTGCCCTTTTTTCTTCTCATGGATTGAATCAGCTCATTGACAATGATGATATTATCATGAATAATTCTCCCTGGGACAAAACTGACTTGATGAGGGGACACTATGTTCGGCATTATAGGCTTTAGCCTCTTCACCAAGAGTTTTGACACACATTTATAAATGACGTTACAAAGGGAAATGGGTCTAAGTTGTGTCACTCTCTCAGGATTGTCCACCTTGGGGACTAGAGTGATTAGGGTTGTGTTGACCGCCTTCATCTTCAACGGAGCTACCCACATGTCTACCACCGCCTTATACACACTCTCCCCCATGATGTCCCAGCATTTTTGGTAAAAGATTGCCGGGAAACCATCTGAACCTGGAGTTTTCAAGCCACCAATAGAGAACATGGCTTCCTTAATTTCATCTCTATTCGGTATCCTGCCAATTCTGCTCCATTCTTCTTGCTTAACTGTCGGCCATCCATGAGTGGTATGGATCCATCCTCGGTCTTCCACTTCTTCTTTGAAGAGGTTTTGGAAGTGACTGTTGATGAGTTTGCCTACTTCCTCCTTCCCCTCCACCACTACGTTCCTGTCATCTTTTAGGGTCATAACTCTTGTTCTTCTTCTTCTAATATTGGTCTTCGTGTGGTAGTAGGAGGTATTCCTATCACCATCAGTTAACCATTTCGTTCTTGCTTTCTGGAACCATAGGGTCTCCTCCTGTTTCAGAACTTCCTGCAATTCCTCTTGAAGTTTAATCTCTAGCTCCTCTAGGAATTTGTTACTTGTCTCTGCAATGATTCTCTGAATACCGGCAATCCTCCTTACTAGCTCTTTCTTTTTTTCCTTCACATGTCCGAAAACATTTACATTCCATTCTTTCAGGAAGTCTTCCAATCCATCCAAGTCCTTTGGGATTTCCTTCGTTTCATTCCACATTTCCTTGATCGAAGGTTTAAAATTTTTATGGGAGAGCCACATAGCTTCGAATCTGAATGGGCGCTTGGATCTGTCTCCTTTCATTCCCGCAAGATGAATGAGCAAAGGGTGGTGGTCTGATTGAATTCTTGGACCAACTTTTACAAAGGCTTCACTAAAACTATTCCTCCAAGTCTGATTACATAGAGCCCGGTCCAATTTCTTATACAGTCTTCCTCCGAACTTCATGATAGGTCCACGCCAAGTGAATCTCGGTCCTTCTGTGCCCATATCAATTAAGTTACATCTATTAATATTGTCGGCAAACCTTTTGCATTTTTTCTCACTTGGGTCAATTCCTCCTCTTTGTTCACTTTCATCTTTAATATCATTAAAATCTCCAGCTAAGAGCCAAGGAAGCTTGTTTCTTTTCGCCACTCCTTCTAAGTTATCCCAAAGCTCTCTTCTCTCCATTTCTTTTGGGCTTGCATAAATAGCAGTGAAAGCCCACTCCCTGTTTCCTATCCCTGACACTACTCCATGCAAGAATTGTTTGTTATTTTCAAGAATTCTGAAATCTATTCCCTCTTCATTCCACAGCACCCATATCCCTCCCGACATTCCTATTGCTTCACTGATTCTTTGCTGTTTAAAACCCAGCTTTTTAATAATCTTTTGGGCTGTGTCTCCACTACATCTAGTTTCAAGTAAGACAACAATTTTAGGTCTTAGCCTGTTCTTCAACTCTTTCAGGGCATTGCCAAAATCTCTTCCAGCTGCCCCTCTTGCATTCCAAACTACTATCATTAAAAAACAATTGAGAAGAGGACCACTTACATGGTTTAGTCTTCCATTCGGGAGCATTGTTGCTCCTCTATCCTCCTTGATATTAACTGCCCATGAGCTCTTAGTTGCGCCTCCACTTCTTCTAAGCCCGATATATTTCCTCCATCCCCAGGGTCTGGTGGTTTTCCATCTTCAAGGTCCATGTCTTCTGCTGATCGGCCCCCTCTTGAAACCTTCGAGTGTTCTGCGTGTCCTCTAGAGCTTGACTCATTTTGGGCAATAATGGGCCCATGCTGACTTTCCCCCTCATATTCCATAAGCATGTCCTCCCTTAGCCCAGTCTTTTCCTCACTTTTGTGGCCCAATTCGGATACCCCTATAGTCCTTTTATTTTTCTCCTTTCCTATTACGCCTTCTTTTCCATTCTTTTCTTCTTGGGCCCACTCTTTTTTGGACTCCGGGTGCTTCTCAGTACTTGTTTCCTCCTTAGCCTCCTTTTTGCCACTCCCTTTATTTCTTCCTTTTCCTTTCCCTTCCTTGTCTTCTAACTCCTTCCTACCGTCCGTAGCCTTTTTTCTAAGCTGCACTCTTTCTTTCTTGCTAGTCTCCCTCAGATGTGGTTCATTGGTTATGTCAACCAAGGTACGGCTACTTTCTTCCTCTTCCCCTC